AGTATTTTTACAGTCTTTATTTTACAGTTAAAATATATGTTTATTAAATAAATGTTACAACTAATCATGGATCCCTTTAAAGCTACTTTGCATATGGCTACTTTGATGATAGGAGCTGTGTTTTAAACCTGCATAAGCATTTTTACCCTATCCAAAAGTTAATCAGCTGTACTGTATGTTTGATGTGATTATGATTTGGGAGTTTCATTAAGGACCACCTCTTGAATCATAAGTATTTTGGTAATTCTAAAAACATGCATGCACACACAGACACAAAAGGCTATAATAAAAGAAACTAGAAAATTTCTGTAGAAATTTAAAAGGGGCTTGRCCAAGTGTGCCTAACTTGGAACCGAAACTTGGCCTGGGAAAACCAGAAACCCCTAAGAACTGCCWAAAATCAAAATCTCTTCAGAGGTTAACAAAGGTCATCAATATCCAGTTAAATTTATTTAATTAATGTGTTAAAGTCCATAAACATGTCATTAGATCAGTGTAGTAATTATATACACTTATTTTTATCTTTGTTATGAAGGATATTTTATTTCACAACCAAATAAAGCAGATTCCTTTCAACTAGTAAACATTTTAACATTCACTAGTTATCATTTAATTATTATGAAGCATGGAGTCATAAGCTAATGTTAGCTGTTTATGTGTCAAGTTACCAGCAGTATTAATGTGCAATTTTTAGTAATAAACTAGATAGTGTGCTCTTATTTTGAAAATCTGAACGGGTTACATCCGGTTCGAATTGCGTTGGAAAACGAACTATAATTAGTAAATTAACTTCTTGTAGCACATTATTGTYCAGCGGTAACATTCTCTACAGTGTAAACAAACGTAGCAGAAACATAAAAAAAATCACAATTCTTCAGAAATATYACARGTTTTAACCACATGMATGGRGCAGGTTAGGCTAAAGGCTAATCAACAYTAATAAACTAGATAATGCGCTCTTWTTTTGAAAATCCGAARGGGTTACATCCGGTTCGAATTGCGTCGGAAAATAAACYTAGRAGAAACATAAAAAAGCACTAGTCTTCAGAAATATGACAWGTTTTAACCYCATGGATGYCGCAGGTTAGGCTAAAGGCTAATCAACAGTAATAAARTAGATACWGCMCTCTTATTTTGAAKATCCAAACGGGTTACATCCAGTTCGAATTGCYTTGGCAAGGATTGCYCCCTCTGSTGGTRCGGATGTRRGAAAAACYGGACTTGTGGCGGTGGGCGGTTTTTAGTTAATTTCTCCGCAACAGTAACTCGAATCATAAAGTTGTTMAATAACACACTTCTCCACTCCAAGACGGTCATTTTGATGTGACTGTTGTGGGGGTACATGCTACGGTTCGAGTCGCATTAAAAGTGYTGGAAMAAGAATAAAGAAATAAATAAAGWCTAGGTGTGGAGTAAAGGATTTGCCTTTGCATGGCAAGCCCCAATAATTACCTTCCAGAGGATCTTTGGTGAGGCCAAGCTGGCTGATTATGTATCTGGGAATATCCGTTTTTATGACCTGGCCCACTTTGGCTTGGCCCTCTGCAGCCTCCAAACGTTGGTAAAACTCCTCTGGATCAAACTCCTGGGAGAAATAAAAATAAAAACAGGACAGATGTGTAAAAGATCTGTAAATTTCTTTTCTTTTTTTGTTAGCATCTGATAAGTAAATAACGTACCATATTTACGTGTGTATAATGTGAGACGTTTAGCATCATGAAACATTTAACATCAATAATCATCCATAAAGTTGGGGGGTGAGGGTTGTACAAGAGTAAACTTTGACCTGTTTTTTCTAATGTACTATGAAGTACGTATATTTTTATTATCCATGACTGTGTTTCCATTGATATTTTTGTTTTTTGGTTTATGGTTAGTTTATAYTCTTTTTCTTTCTGTAAGGTTGTGATCAAATAAGTCTTGTGTTTAAAAAACAAGATGGATGTTCTGTTCTGGAACATTAAAAAAATGGCTGCTTCAAGGAGAACAAAGAACCTCTGGTTTTCATCAGTTTAACTAAACACACCCTCTTTAAACAACATTCAAAACACTAATTTTCGTACYTTTGTAGAGTTGTAGGATTCTATTGGCTGAAAGCTAGTCATGTGATATTGTAGATCTCTCCCTGTTGGCTGGTTACTAAGCCACCACGCCCAGTACGCGTGACTAGCTCTGAAAATAATGTGAATTCAGCCCTTGGCTCAGGGCCATTTTCATTAAGCCAGGTTCCCACCGAATGCGTTTTAAGGAGCAAAAATGTGCCCAACACCTCAAGTTGGACGCACTGAAGCATGTTCAGTGTGAACGCAGCAGCAGACTAGACACGTGTCTGCA